GCGGGCGGGCGGGCAGCCACCCCGGGTGCCAGTACCGAGCCTGGCATGGGGTCACCGGCGCGGCAGGCGCTGCTCCTCCCCGGCGGGCTCCGGTGCCGCCCCCAGGCCCGGGACCCTGGTGAGGGGAGCCGGGAGCTGCGTCTGGGCCCGTGGGCACGCAGGGCTGAGCGCTGTCCTGAGCTCTGTCCGGGTGCCCTGGCAGTGGCCTCGTGCTGCCGGCTCAGGAGCCTTCTCAGGAGCCGGCTGCCGCTCTTGGGCAGGCCGTGCGGGGCACTGGCCTCTGCGCTGCTCGGTCCCTGCTGCGTCCTGATCCTCCCTGCTGGAGGGACTGGACCTGGGGCGCTTCGCGGGAGCTTACACGCAGTCTCCAGAGACGGCGCGTCGGCTGCGTCCGGCTCCATCCTGCCTCTGGCTTGGGCAGGGGCACCGTGGAAGGAGCTCTTGCATGGGCCAGGCACGTGGGGCCGTGCAGTCCTTGCCTAGTTATGCACAGTCCGGGTCCTGTGCTGGGGCCTCCAGCTGCACAGGGTGCGGGGAAGCGCTGCGCTGCGCTGGGCACGCACCCTCCTGCTTGTGCTGGTCTTGCCAGTGGCTGCTGCTCGTGCGGGGAAGGGCAGGGGAGGTCCCCGTGGCGCTGGCCTGGTGCATTCGGGGCACGAGCCATGCCCAAGAGAAGCAGGCAGGGAAGAAACCGCGGCTTCCTGGACTGGGGCACCGGGGACCCCAGCAAGGAAGCCCTAGCTAGGTCTCCCGTCCCAGTCCTGGCAGCCGGATGGGAAGGGCTGGCCCCGGGAAAGCTGGGCCTGCCCTGGGCACCACTTTGGGGCACTGGGATGAACTGCATCACAGGCGCGTGTCCTGCTGAGGGCGGGGTGTGGAGGGGGCAGGTCCCACGGGAGCTGCCGGCTCTGACATGGCTGTCCCGACAGGTGGGGAAGATGACCAGCAGTGACCCCGACCGGCCCCAGTTCCTGTTCGTGAAGGCGCTGGCCAGCCGGGGCCGCGCAGAGGCCGTGACACAGCAGATGGGCTACCACCCGCAGTACCTGGACAGCTTCCTCAAGACACAGCACTACCTGCTGCACATGGACGGCCCGCTGCCCTTCGCCTGCCGGCACTACATCGCCATCATGGTGCGTCCCCGGGCAGTGCCCTGCCGCCTGCCTGGCCGTGACCTGCTGGGTGCATGGGCAGCGCCTGGGGCTTGCACCCAGTTGCAGCTGGGGTGGAGCCTCGTGCTGCTGCTGGCTGCGTGGCAGGCACAGGCCTCAGCCTGGGCATCCTCAGCGGGGTGCTGAGGCTCGGACTGGCTCTTGCAGGCAGCTGCCCGGCACCAGTGCCACTACCTGGTGAATCTGCACGTGCTGCAGTTCCTGCGCATGGGGGGGGACGCCCAGTGGCTGCAGGGCCTGGCCTTCACCCCCCCCAAGCTCCGCAACCTTAATGAGATCAACAAGATCCTGGCGCACCGGCCCTGGCTGGTCAGCAAGGAGCACATCGAGGTGAGCAGCGGGTGGGGAAGGGCAGGCGGGGAAGCCTGGGGGGAGGCGGTGGCCATGCCCTGCTGTGGCGTCAGTCTGTCCGTGTGCCCCCTGCCCCTGCAGAAGCTTCTGAAGATCAGTGAGCAGAGCTGGTCTCTGGCCGAGCTGGTCCATGCCGTGGTGCTCCTGGCGCACTGCCACGCGCTGGCCAGCTTCGTCTTCGGGTGCGGCTGCGGGCAGGACGAGCGGCCGGATGGCTGGGCTGTGCCAGCACCCACCTCACCCGGGAACCAGTGCTTCTGCGAGGCTGGCAGTGGCAATGGCTGTAGCCAGGAGCTGTTGCGCATCAACCGCAAGCGGGTGAGCCCTGGGCAGCCCCCTGCACCCACCCCACCCATGACCATGCCAGGGGACTGGGTATCCATGGAGCTGCGCTGATTCCACTCTGTCTCCCCCCGCGCAGTCCCTGGACTCCTGCGTGGAGCTGGGGTCGCTGCGGGACCGTGCCCAGAAGATTCACCCAGAGGCCGAGGGCAGGGAGGAGACGAGGCTGCCCCAGCCAGACAGGGAGGAAGGTGAGAGAGGGCAGGCCAGAGCCCAGCAGCAGGGAATCCCGGGAGCAGCCCAGGGGTGCAGGCCCCTGCCTGCCCCCCACAGCAGGGAGGGCTCAGTTGCTGCAAACCCCACGTGCTGGAAGCCCCCGAGAACAGGCTGGGCACAGGCCCGCGCCAGTGCGACACCTCCACGGCCCAGTGCTCTGGGAGCCGCAGGCTCTGCTTCTGTCCAGCGGCAGTGGAGGGTGGGGAGGTCGCTGCAGCCTGGCCCGGCAGCAGCTCCATCCCAATGTGCCTGGGTCTCTGTCTCCCTCAGACTTGCACGGGGAAGCTGTCAGCACCGCAGACCTCTCCTGCTACCTGCAGGACCCCGACTTCGCGTACCAGGACTTTGCCCGGCGCGACGAGGATCACACACAGATCTTCAGAGTCCAGGTGAGCGCTGGGACAGGGAGGGCTGTGCGCGCCAGCAGGAGGTGGCATCAGGCCCTGGGCCGTGCAGCAGTTGCCAGAAAGGCCTCCCAGTGTCACAGGGTTGGGTAAGGAGTGAGTTGGAGTGACCGGCTCTGGTGCTGGAGTCCTGCTCCTGGGCCCTGCAGGCCAGAGCCACTTGCCAGCGGCAGAACCAGGCTGCTGTGTCCAGGCACCTCCCTGAAGGCAGCAGCAGCTGCTGGGGGTGGGAAGGCTCCCGGGCTGCGGGGAGCTGGAGCTGGAGCTGGAGCAGGAGCAGGTGGGCCCTGGCCAGGGTCTCCCTGGGGCTGACGCATGGCACTTGGGGGCAGGACTACTCCTGGGAGGACCATGGCTTCTCGCTGGTGAACAGGCTCTACTCCGACATCGGGCACCTCCTGGATGAGAAGTTCCGCACCGTGGACGGGCTGCGCGGCAGTGTCATGGCCAAGCGGCAGGGCTGCGAGCCCTCGGCCTTTAAGCGCGGCATCTGGAACTACATTCACTGCATGTTCGGGATCAGGTAGCCTGGCCCGGCCCTGCCCTCCCCAGATTGAGGGGAGGGAGGGGGTCCACGGTTTGGGGAACAAGCCTGGGCATGATGATGTGCTGCAGGAGTCTGGCCTGATTCCTGGGGCCAGCAAAGCCCTGCCCAGATCTCAGGGACAGGCTTGGAGCATGATCAGGCTTGCCCGGAGCTGGCTGGTGAAGCAGCTGGGCACCCCATTGCTCTCCCCACACAGGGGTCACTCCGCTGCATCAGCATCACGAGCGTAAGTGGGTGGCACCAGCTGCTGGTAGCACCTCTAACAACTGCTGCTGCCCCCAGCTCACACCGCTCGTGCCCCAGGGTAAGGGCGTTTGCCCTGTGTGACCGTGGCATCCGGGGCTGGGCAGGAGCTGCCTCTGACGTACCCCGGCTTCCTGCAGGTACGACGACTACGACTATGCCGAAGTGAACCAGCTCCTGGAGCGGGCGCTCAAGGCGTACATCAAAACTGTGACGTGCTACCCCGAGAAGACAAACCCTGAGACGTTTGACCGCTTCTGGAAGCAGTTCAAGCACAGTGAGAAGGTGCGGGCAGGGGGGAGCACACGCAACCTTGGCCAGCAAACACCATCTCTGGGCAGCAGGGCTGGCTCCTTGCCTCACCACCACCACTTCCGTGGGGCAAGCGGTGTGTGGCCCAGCCCTTGGCCACACAGCCCTCCAGCGGGCAGGAGCTTCCTGGCATCAGGGACCCAAGAAACATTTGGATGTTTACCTTGCTAAGATCTTTTGACCCCAGCTGACTTCCTGCCTCTGGGGCAGGAGGCTGGACCCGATGATCTTACAAGGTCCCTTCCAACCCAAATGTCTGTGCAGTCTATGAAGATGCTGGCCTGGCACCAAAGCTTCCTGGGGAAGGTCGTGGATGCTGGAGCAGGCTGGGGGGAGCTGCAGTCCAGGGCATGTGGTTGGGGTCACCTGCTGCTGGGGTTCAGGCTGTCTTGCCTCCACAGGTCCACGTGAACCTGCTCATCCTGGAAGCCCGGATGCAGGCGGAGCTGCTGTATGCGCTGCGCGCCATCACCCAGTACATGATCTAGCTGGACCGGCGCCCACCCGCGCAAATGGCTGGCCAGCGCGGGGCAGGGCACACTGTCTGCTCCGGTTACCAGACTGACTTTCCTTTTCCCTGTGGGCCACAGTGCGTGGCCCGTGATGTGCAATGACCAAGCTGTAAGGAGAGTCCCGGCTGCGGCAGGGAGGGCTGCCAAAGCTGCACCCCATCCTCCAGGGCTGCTGGAGCCAGTTCCGACGGGCAGCAACAGGCCAGGCCGAGAGCCAGGCCCTCCCACTGTGCTGATCTGGTGCCTCCCTGGCGACGAAGCTTCTTCCTGCGGAACATCGTGGGCATGGGGCCAGGCGGTGGGCACGCTGCGGCCAGTGGCAGGGGAGAGGCTGGCTCCAATCTGCTTCGGGGAGCTCAGCCCCTCCCAAGCCTTGGGCTGGGCGGCAGGCCGCCCCCTCCCTCCCCTGCCAGTGCAGCCCCCTGCCCTCACTCCTGTGCCAAACCCTTCTTGGGGCAGAGGGAGCTGCTGGCCAGGCCTACTCCACACTGAGCCCGTGGCTGGGGAGCGGCTGGCACTGCCCCGTCCCAGGGCAGGCAGGGAGGGTGGCTGCGGTTCCCAGTGGAGGCTGCAGCAGGGGAGAAACTGAGGGTCCCTTCTGCAGGTTTCTGCTGCACTTCCTTGGTGCTGAGAGGCAGAGGGCGAGTGCAGGATCAGGGAGGGCACATTCTCCTGGGAGCTGGGCCTGGGCCTGGGCCTGGCTGGCTGCTCAGTGCCAGTGTGAGGCCTGCTCCTGCCTGGATGAGCCCTGAGAACTGAGGCAAGTGGGACCACCAGCCAGGGGCGGTGCAGGGCAGCCCAGAGCTGTCCAGCCCCTCTGCCACAGACATGTCCCCTCTTCGGTCAGGTGCTGCTCTGGGCCCCCAGCTTGGCTCCAGGGGCACTGGCCAGGTCCTGCCCCTGGAGTGTGAGGGAGGGCGGCAAGGCCCACCTGCGCGCTGCTTCAGTCAACCTGTTTACTGCGTACGTGAGTGAAGAAAACTGCGTGTCTGGAAGCTACAGAAAAAGCCTATTTTTGCTATAAATATCATTATGTTTGACATGGGCTGTGGCCTTGCTGCCTTCTTGGGGCAGTTTGGCCCCTCTACTTGGTGCCAGGGGGCTAGGGCATAGCAGCCACTTACCTGCAGCAGCTCCAGGCTGGCCTCGGCCTGGTCTGCCAGCATTCACTCACCTGGCTGGAGCCCAGTGCCCTTCCTGCCCCAGACAGCCCTGGCTGGTCCCTGCAGCAGCTGGAGCAGGCATAGTCCGGCAGTTTCCTGGCTGACAAAGCAGGCAAGAGCACCACCCCCCCAGACATGAGCCAGCAAGCCTGGTGCAGCAGGAAACACCTGCTCTCGGCCCGTGTGCACACAGAGATGGAGAGCGCTGCAGGATCCGGTCCCCTCTCATCCTACTTTATGGCCGTCAGCTCGGGCACTGCGTAGATTAGGCTGGTGCTGGTCTGTGCCCAGTTGGGCCTTGCCCAGAGCCAGGGGGCTGACACGTGTGGGCAGAGCCACAGCAGGTCTCTGGGCCCAGGGCAAGTGCTCCCTACCCCGTCCAGCCCCAGCTGCTAGTTGCCTACTTTCCTGAGCTGGGACCAGACAGATGGGCACAGGGAGGATGGTGCGCTGCTGCCCTGTAGGGCAGGGGTACATGGCTTGCCACACCCCAGCCCTCCCCAGAAGGCAGTGCCAGGGCTGCTTGCCAGGTCCTGGCTTTACCAGCAGTCTCCTGGCCTACACATGCTGCCAGCTACAGCAAGGCGTGACAGGGCAGCTGGCTCTCCCAGTCAAGGTGATGGACACCACATCCCCTCTGCAGCTGCGTTGGTCCACGGAGTGACAGCTTGTGCTCTGGGGCAGCAGCATGGTGGATTCAACCCTGGCTCCAGGCCTATACTTGGGTCCGGTGCTCTTGGCAGGGCCTGGCCAGCTTGGGAGAGTCTTGTTCCAGTGCCCAGAACAAGCATCAACTGCACAGGAACATCCAGGACTGAACAGGCCATCACCTCCTGCAGGGACCTGCCATTGGCCTCAGGAGCCTGCCCTGCCTGCCATGGGGGGAGCTACACATCCCACTTTTGCAGGAAGCAACGGCCTCCCCCTGTGTGCACCCTGGGGGTTGTGTTACAGCACCTCCAGCCCTGCTGCCCCCCCCCCAGGAGCTGCAGCCGCAGGGCCCAATGCCAGACCCTCCCCCCGCCAGCAATGTCACTGGTTAGCAGGGGTCTCCCATTCAAAGCACCTGGGAAGGCCACCGTCTGGGTCAGACTGCCCAGTGGCTGGGACAGAGGGCAGCTGCTCCCCAGAGCCGGGGTCCAGCTCCCAAACCACAGCTTGCTCTTGGCCATGGGACAAAGCTTGGATGCAGAGGCCCCAGGTGAGGTGCTAGAGGGAAGGCAGGTCTCCACATACCCTCAGGCATCAGGCACAACAGGTCTGCTGGCTCTGGCAAGTCCCCAGGCGGTCCAGGCCAGTCTTTCTCCAGTGCTCAAGAACAGCAGCGCGACTCTGCAGCAGTGCACATGGGACCACCTGCTCCAAGGACTCCTGGATGACCCTGAACTGCAATGAGGCTTGGGCTGAGGCAGGATGCTGTGGCCTCATCAACTCACAACACCAAGCGACCCCATCAGCAGTGGGACAGGGCACGGTTCTCGGCCTGGATCATGCCATGCGGCCATGAGACCCCCTGCCCACCAGCCACAAATGAAACATTTCCTTCTCCCATCTTGCTCTTCCTTATCTTACACTCCACGACCCCGGGGTTTTCCTCTCCCCTCTCATGCAGCATTTATTTCATGTGCCGATACGTTCCCCCACAGCTCACCTCCCTTCTAAGCTGGTGACCCCAGTGCTTGCAGTCCCCTGGTGCAAGCTCCCCTTAGCTAGGCTGCACAGCCCCTCACCTGCAATATGCTTGCCTTCCTAGAGACGCCACAACCCCTGATGCCTGCAACACCCTGCCAAGGGCCCATGACCAGGGAGGTGGTTTCCCCGTAGGCCCCCGTCTGCACCAGGTACTTCTACTCACTGCTTACCCCACAGCCAGGTTCTCTTTTCCTTTGCTGACATTTCTGAGCCCAAATACACAAGCAGGATGCAGCCCCAGCAAATGGCAGCTGCTGTGTACAGCCCCTCTCTGCTCCTACCACTGCATTTCCCCTGTTAATGCAAGCTGTGCCAGGGGACAGGGCCACAGCGCACAGGGGCTGCTGGCAGGTTGTGTCATGGGAAGGCTGACTGGATAAGCACCTCTTGAGCTCCAACAGGGTAAAGCCCCTGGAGATGCAGACACACACAGGAGCTACTGGAGCATGGCCTGGTGGGGGGAAGGCAATGGATAGCCCTGGCTGCAGGCTGGAAGCTGCGTTGGGCACAAACACACGGGACATGGAGCAGAGGATTACAGGTTTATTTGTCAGACGTTCCTGCCCTAGTCTAGCATGTTCTACAGCCTTGTAGCACCGGTGGTAACAAAGCGCCGCGACATTCGGTTACACCGTGAGAGCAAACAAAGCTGGCGGGACAGGAGGAACTCTGAGGAATGGGCGGGTGAGAGACCTGTGCCAGCAAGTGCCATTAGCCCCACACCAGCAAGGAAAGCCAGCCAGGGCCCAGGGGATGGGGTGCGGGCTGTGCCACAGCAACAGCCAGTTCACAGGACCATCTCCCGACTTCCTGCCAGGACACTGGGCCCAGCCTCTGCCCCACCTAGAACTGCACCTGGAGACTGAGCACCAGCAAGGGGCCCCAGGCCTCATGGAGACATGTCTAGCACTGTGACCACCACCCTGCAGGAAGCAGCTTCCCCCTTACACCTCTCTGCTCCCTCAGCCCCATGGCAGCAGCTCTCTCAACCCCCACCATGGCCACAAGCGCAAAGACCGAGCCAGACTGCCTGGACTTTCTCCCCTGGGTTAGAATGCACTCAGTTCCAGAGAGGCCCTTGCTTCCTACAGCCCTGGGCACCGTGGGCAAGGGGTGGTGCTGGGCTGCCTTGCTTGGGGGACCTCCCCACCCATGGGGAGTCATGTCTCCTAGCTGACATCAGACTTGCAAAGCGTCCCCCCACAGCCGAATGAGGACAGGACCCCAAGACATCTGCACTCTGGCCCCTGGCTTGGGTCCAACCCCACACTGCCCCATGATCAGGAAGAAGTGCTTGAGGCTCAGGCCCCAGCTGCTGTGGCCACTAGCAGGGCATGCCAGCTGTCCCAGGCCCCCTCCAGCCACCCCCACCCAGCAGCATTCCAGCAGCACTATAAATAAGCAACTAAATAAGAAAACAAAGGAGCGTGACCTAAATAAGAGCTTTCTAGGCATTTCCTTTGGAACAGCTGATTAGCACGACCTATTCCAGCATGCACATCACTGAGGGCTGCACCCAGGCTCCAGAACGCTCCCCTGCTGTCGCAATGGCTTGGCCGCTGCTCTACACGCAAGCTGGGACAAAGGGGTGCTATGCACTTCCACATATCCATGGGACCTCAACCAACTTTGGCTGCTCCTCTCCTGTGAGACACGGGCCACTGATGGCCCCAGGCAGCTGCCCCCACACCCAGATCAACCCAGGTGCACGCAAAGGCCATGGGTTGGACTCCCACAAGCTCTGCAGACAGACGGCGCACAGTTGGCATGGTGCGGGCACCATGTTCCACACCACCGGGCTTGGAGTAATCAGTGCCCCACCAGAGCCCACCCTGGCTAAGGTGGAGGAAACGCACAGCTGGACAGTACAACTCCTCATGTCTGGAGTTCCCCCCAGCCCCCTCCAGAGCCACTGCCCCCCTTCCCCACCCCACACCAAAGCACAGGGGCAGTGTGGGATCAAGCTGCACCCTCACCTCCTCTTCCTTTCCACCCACCGTGGACCTATCCCAGTCTGCCCATCTCTTCCTGCCAGCACAGGAGGCAGGTGGCCTGGCTGCATCATCAGCTTGGTGGTGCAGAGCCTGCGTCCTTACTCTCCATTTCCCTGCAGCATTACCCCAAGGAGGTGACAAGCAAACCCTGAACAATCCTCTGCCCCAGAAACCCAGGCCCTCTGCTAACACAGGTGTAGGAACATGTCTTGGGGAGGTGTCTGCGCCGTGCCAGATGTGACAGCACTGCCAGCCCTCAGTGGAGCAGCCTGGAGATCATTTTTTGGCCCTCAGTGGAGCAGCCTGGAGATTGGTTTTTGGACTGTGGAAGGGGGCAGTGCCAGCAGCCAACCCTAGAGCATCTGCAACTTGGCGGCACTTCCACTGCCTCTGGGAAAGGGAGCATTCAGGGCTCTGGTGCAAAGCTCTCCTCTCCAGCACTGCTGCAGGGAGGGAAAGCGAGGGCCCTGCTAGGGATGGGCCAGACACACAAGTCCACGGGCACATACTGGCAGCCCCCTGGGGGAACCTGAGCGCCAGAGGCTGAGGCCCACCCCGAGCTGTACACATGGTGGCCTGGGCCCACAGGGCAGTTGGGCACCACAACGCTCCTGCACAAGGATTGGGCCAGGCTGAGAGGCTGGAAGCAGACACTGTAGACCTGGCTACTCATGGCCTAGCCTGCACTACATCTGGCATGCTGGTACAAGCAACACCATAGAACCCACTTGCCTTTGCAACTAGGGCCTCAGCTGCTGGCTTGCCCAGAGGACAGGTGCCAGCAGGAAGGGATCCCCATTCACCAGCTGTTCTAGCTGCAGGTTCGGGGCAGCTGCCCAGGGGCCAGGCCTGCATCCCACAAGGGGATACAGTCAGGGGCACATGGACAGGTTCTGCAGATGAACCCAAGTGTGGAGTGCAGATGGCACCAGTATGCAGTTTCTGGACTGCCACCTCAGCACCTCGTGCTGGAGAAGGTAGAGGCAGCCGGTTGGAGGGGCCTCGTCTCAGGCACCTGACCATACTGTGCTGCTCTGGTCCCCAGGAGTACCAGAGGGGCCCCTGAAAGTGCACACAGCAGACGAGAAGGGAATGCGGAACAACCTCACAGCACCTCCTGGTGGGAGCACCCATTAGCTACACACCAAAGGAGGTCACCGACTGTCCCCACGAACAAGCTTGATAGACCCAGCAAAGAAACACCCCCCTCCACTCCTGCCACTGCACCACCCAAAGTCCAATGGGAAGCCATTGGATAGTACACCTCATCCCTCTGGCTCCTCAGCTCCTTCCCCCACATGCACAAGGACAAGATGGGGCACAGCCCTGTCACATCCCAGAGATCTGCCTAGGAGGTGAGCATGGGCAAGCAGGAGCACAACTTCAGCAACACGAGGAGAAAGCAATGGGAACCACAACAACCAGGCCACAAGCACAGCACGGGACATCGGTGAGGGTGAGGGGCCTGGCCTAGCCCAGCCCTCCTCATCAGTGGGGCAGGGAACCTAAGCCTGAGACCTCAGCTGCCGCCCTGCTACTCTAGGGCTTAATCCCCACCAAGGCTCAGCCAAGCACACAAGTTTAGGAAAGGCTAAGGTGCAAGTGACCAAGCACCCCAAGAGGCTGGCCTGCTGCAGCCACATTCAGAGCATGTCTATGGGTACCTGGCAACTCCCACATGCACTGCGGCAACCTGCCACCCTCACCTTCCACTGCATGCTCAGCTGTGGCCCAGCCACGGCAGGCTTGTCTCCATCCCCCTGTAGTGTTCATCTAATATCCATGGGATAAAGCATGTTTTTACCCAATAATTGCATGGTTCCTCAGTTAAAGAGAGAGAGAGAGAGAGAGAGAGAGAGAGAGAGAGAGAGTGTGTGTGTGTGTGTTTAAAAAGGTTTAGAAAAGCTTCTAATCAATCTGCAGGCAGTTTTGCACATGGATCACAAGTAATGTACAACCCCCACCCCCCCAGGCGGTTCCAGACAGCATGGGCCTGCCAGTTCCTTTCCACCCAGTTACACACATGATCAAATGTCAAAAGTGTGTTCTCAGCACAGCTCTGAAAGGCAAATCTGCAGTCGGCCCCTTCCATGAGGGAGAGAGATGGCCAACGTGCCTAATGGAGACACTTATATTGGCCTAAAATTTGTCATAGAAAGCCCCCAGATTAGTAAAAAAATATGTCATCTATAGAAAATGCCCTTCTGAAAAGCAACCAGGGCTCTGTTAAGGCCACACCCAGACTTCAAATTCTGGCTGCTGTAACAAGGCAGCCCAGGAACAGACTCAAGATGTTTGGTGTTCCAGCAGTGACTATTAGCACCCATGTGTCTACTTTGCAGCAGCCTGCTGCACCGGCACAGCGCTGAGGACAGAGCAACTTCTCTAGACCACGCTACTCATTCAATAGGGGCCAGTTGGCACAGTGAAAATAAACTGGCATGCCTCAATTCTCCACAGGTGCACAATGGAGAGCACCCCTCCCTGCAGGGCCCTGTCCCTTCCAAAGCACAACAGGGTGCAGAGGGAAGTGGGTCATGCCGAAGCAATTTCCAACACATCCAACATGCCCTTTTCCCACCCTGCAGCACCTTCCAATTTCTCTGCAAGTCTATGGGGTACCAAGTGTGGGCCAGTGGCTGAGGGAAGAGTCCAGTTACTCCACCCCAGAGGCAAGGTGAGGACAGAGTAGGCCCCACTGACAGGTGCTGGGAGACCTGCCACCGTGGCAGAGTTAAGGCAGTCACTGGTATGTGCCTCCAGCGAACCCCACCTTCTGCATGGGAAACGTTGCAGTCTGGCACAAAGGCCTCCAGCCAAGGTTCTTCACAGGACTCCTCTTCTGCAGAAGGTCCAGGGCAGGGGCAGGATTTTGGGAGAAGTGGCACATGACAGGATTTGCTAGAACTCTTCCTGTTGCCCCTGGCACCCAGCAGGCAGCCCTTTCTGCCTGGGGCAGTGCGCAGGAATGCGTCTCCAATGCGTTCCATTCTTTTCAGACTCTGCTGGGGGTGGGAAGCGAAGTCAGAACCCAACAGTCAAACCCTGAAGGACACTAGGAAGAAGAGCAAAGCAAGTGGTTAGTTCTGGGCCTGAGGGAGCCTCTGGGCACACATCTGAGAACAACGGTCAGGAAAATGGAGCAGCAGGCAGCGTGAGATTGACTCATCCAGAGACCCACACATTCCAAGGATACTTGGCAGGGCAAAAGCCCACCCAGCTGCCCTCTCCACACTGGGGGCAGAAGGAGGAAAGGGAAAGAGCCTGCCTGACTGCCTTCTCCACATGGGCAAGTGCAAGACAAGATGACAAAAGAGCCACCTGGGGTCTTGTGCTTGCAAAGGAGCAGGAGGAAGAGGCCCCATGGCAGGGTAGACTTATGGGAGAATGCTCCTGAGGGAGGCAGCAGGAAGAGGGAAACTGCTGTTCCATCAGGCAGCACCAAGACAAAGTACAGGTGGAGAAGCCTGCTGGGCTGCGAACAAGCTGGCAGGCACCAGGGCACTGGACAGAGCCTGCTCAGCTACACCAAGCAGCCTTCTTTGCACATGATACAAGTAAGTGGATGTGTTTGATTGCGTATTCCTCATTAAGTCTTACAGGAAACGCTTCCTCAAGCACCACTCACCAGAGTGCCAGCCTGCTGGCAGCCATGGGAGCAGAGGCAGCTCAGGAGAGTGAGCCACACACCTCCACTGTGTGCTTGGGACTCCTTTGAGCCACAGGAGCCAGTGGTGCGGGGAGAACTCAAAGACTGGCAGAACTCTGCCAGGCAGGGAGAACCGCTACACAGAGGGACAAGAGACTTCCCCTGGTGGCTGCAGACCGCTCCAGGGAATCCAAACCCAGCCTGTGTACAAACAACAAGGAGAGAAGTGCAGACCAGCAGGGAGGGGCCATGAGCAGGACTTGATGGGGCAGGAGATGTACAAAGGGGCTGGGGCCAGTCAGTCTGCACAAAGCCTTGCTTCGGAGCTTTAAATCAGTGGTGCTCAAACTCCGATTCATGGAGCTGTGTCCTCTGGCCCATGGGGCTCCCCACAGGTCTCTAATCTGGTGGAAGGGGAGCAGTGGCAGCATTAATGCTGTTTGCTTGCTGCCAAATGTCCAGACCTGCAAGAGATCGGTCACATTCCTGCATTCTCATCTTCCTATCTCACAGCACTGGATGTTTGCTCGCAGCTGGGGAGCAGCTCAGCAGGAAGATGCGCTCCCACCCAGGCACACTGTGCTCAGGGTTCACCTACCTCTTCCCCTTGTCTGCACTCACTCTCCACTTTTTCTTTGTACCGTCTTTCCTGCTGCAACTCCCAACCCTTCCCTTCTCTCCTGTTCCATCTGCTGAAGGTATCAGTGATGGAACAATGTGCATTCTAGAGCTAATACCCCAGCATGATAGAGGGAGGGACAGGATCACATACCTCTCAGACTTTTGCAGAATTGGAACATGAGTGGGACTAGCTCTGACACCACTCCTTGCCTACAGTGTCACCTTCCCCTCACAGGAGGGTTCTGCATTTGTACTCAGGGTTAGGCTGCTGTCTGAAGGTAGCTGCCTCTAGTAACAAAGGGCTCTCTCCATGAATCCAATCATTACCGTGCTTCATTGAGACAGTTGACAGCATGGCAATTACATGCCATCCACCCCTAACCCCATCTCATCTGGGGCCAGCCCAGCACTATTCTCAGGAACAGGGTCCTGGCACTTTGTGCCTACACTTCACCAGTCAGGGAAAAGGGAATGGAATATTCAAGCTGGTGCAGCATGCTGTGCCCCTACAAAGCAAGAAGGGGAGCTCACCTACCTTTTTGTACTCCTGAAGTTAACTTGGTACCCAAGTATGGTTGGAGGCCTGCGAGGTGCTGGGGTAGCTGGGAGTAGACAGAATGGGTTCAAAGTTAAAGTCCAAGCCCTCTCCATCCATGAGGTCACTGTTGATTATGTAATCCATGTCACATTCAAGGTTCTCCATGTACATGTCAAGGTCCAGGTCGGTGGGCAGCCTGTCCTGGGTCGCTCCCAAGGGGGCAGGGCTACCAGAAGGGAGAAGTGGTGGAGTGCCCAGCTGGGTTAGCTGGGCAGCAGCCTTCAAAGTTGCCAAGTTGGCTGTGGTCTCAGGACATGCCACCATGGGAAGTGTGGATGTCAGAGCACCAGCACCAGACTCTGGCTGTTGCTCTGAAGGCTTTCCTCGTGGGTTGACCGGGCCCATCTTGTTCTGGGTGGCCTGTCCACCTAGAAGCAGGAGAGTTGGGTTGTTCAGCCTGCTTCCGGTCTGAGGGAGTATTGGATCCACCTGAGTCATCATCACATCACTGGGAGGTGGAGAGTTGGATGTCAGGAGAGCTTCCAGGGTCTGAGGGCCGGAGAAGCGGCTCACAGGACTCTGCAGAGATACATCAACAGGGTTAAACAGAGAGTTGCCAAAAGTAGAGGCCGGGCCAACTGTATTCTGAGTCCGTAGAGAGAAACTGGAATCTCTTTGGATCGGACCACTTGAGACAGACTGCTGGGTGGGCAGCATGGAAGAACTGGGTGACGTCAAGTTTAACCCATCGATGAGTTCGAGCTCCTCAGTCACGGTGGGCGGGACGTTGCTGGATGCACTGGAGAACACTAGAGATGGAAGAAGCTCCTCGTCCGGGAGATCGTCCCGCTCGGGCAGGATAGGAGAGCGCCTGGTACTAGTGGTGCTCGCATTGGAGCTGGTTCGAGGCCGGAAACTGGTCCATACATCAGAGTCCTCATTACTCCTTGCGGGGCTTCCAGGCCACTTTGGGAACTGGGAGCTAGGACTGTCAGCAGTAGTCTCTGGAGCTGTTTGCAGTGAGGCCTTCTTCTTGCCTCTGACCTTGGCCAGTTTGGTGCTGTTGTCCATGGAGGCAGCTCTCCTCCTCGGAGCCTTCCCACTTTTGCCACCTTCTGGATTAAGCATCCACCAAGAACTCTTCCCCGTGGCTTCATTATGCACTTTAATGAACTTGCTGTGCAGGGAGAGGTTGTGTCTGATGGAGTTCTGAAAGAAAGGACAGTGTCAGCAGCATTTGCACTCACAGCCCCATCCTTCCCTACAGGAGTCTGGCATTCAATCATTGGTCTGCCAGGAACCCAGGTGGAGCTCTAAGGGCACCCCTAGCTGCCTGCAGCTACAGCAGAATACACCAGCCCTCTGCTATAACCACATAACCAGGCCCTTGGAACAGAGCTAGCAGTGCTCCTCTTATCCCTTTCATCACCCCACCTCCCAGCACGGCTCCTTCTCTTTCCTCCCAGTTATAGGTCAACCTCCTCAGATGCCTCCTAGCCAGGCTGGGTTCTGGGAAAGTTCTGCCCCATGCACAAATCTCCCCTCAGCCCCCTGCTGCACCCCAAAGTGAGGCAGACATAGGACCAAACACAACAGAGGACCATACTGCAAGGGGCAGGACCCCACTCTCCTCCAAGACTTGGCCTCTACCCAGAGCAGCCTTCCCAGAAGCTCAGCAGTTGCTCATGCTTCACAATCATGATGATCCACAGGCTGAAGTTCTATCCTAAGCAAACTCTGACCGACCAGACTCTGCATCAATGTTCTGGATTTAAGGTATAGCTCGACATTACAGTTATATTGGTTTAAGCTGCTTAGATACAACAAGGTTTGGGTGTTTTGCATGCTCCTATGCTGGTATAAATATATCTTCGCTGTTGGAAATTTAAGTCTGGAGCTACAAACAGACATTACATTTGTCCCAGGATAAATCCTAAAAAAGTTTCCCTGATGAGAGGAAGTATTTGTTTATCCAGGGATATTACAAAGTACATCCATACAATTATCCTGGGATTGCATTGCTTAGTTAATGGCAATGCTACATTCAACTGCTCACTAAACCCAATTAGAAGGGTGACGCGTGTACACACAAATTCCAGGATATTTTAATTCTGGGCTAAAACAGGCACAACTTATCCAGGGACAAATGTAATGTCTCTTCCTAGCTTGAATGAGACAGATTTAAAAGTTACAGCTGTTTTACTCCTATAGTAAGACAGATGGAGCTGACAGACAGAATGGATAGACCAGCTGGGTGCCCTGAGTGGCAAAGTACCCTCTCCACTTCTGAAAACCACACCCCACCAAAGGCTCTGGGCAATCCCCCCCGGCAGCCAGGAAGTGACCTGCCCATAGGACACTGGGGAAGCACAGAGGAACTCAGAGCTCAGTGCAGGGTTCTGGTGGGGGGCAGGAGCATTTGCTTTGAGGTGGGTGCTCCCCACTGGCTATCAGTAGGGTGCAAGCTCACTGTTACTAACTGGCCACGCTAGGCAAGTAGCAAGATTAAAGCAGGTCCCTCGTGCTGTGTCACCTCCTAGACATGACGTCTCCAGTGCCTACCCCAGCTCTCTAGACATAGAAACCTGAATGACCGACACCTGCAGAGGACAGTGCAAAGGTGGCAGAGGCAACCACAGCTCAGGGATTTCCCACTCTAAAGCACTGAAAAGAACGTGAAGGCTGTGACACTGCATGAATCCACATGTTGTTGTACAAGACAGACAACTCTGTCTGTAGCTGGGACTGACATGTGCCCCAGTCAGGCTCTGAACCCTGGGACTTCACAGCACAGCACCCCCCTTGAGTACACGAGCAGACAGATCAACCACAAGAATGGGTGGCAGGATGGGGCAATTCCAGATGCAAGAGTAGTTTCATTTCTCAAGCAGAGAGCCATGAGACCACACAGCTGAAACCCAGGGCTGCCACAGTAGATCTGAGGTCCGTCCCAGCAGGACAGCGCATTCGACACTGAGCGTCTGGGGCGAAGTCAGGGTTACGAAGGGCACAGAACCGTCACCAGCCAAAAGCAGCAAGCCCACACTCAGCAGGCCTTTCCCCAAGTCAGTGCACTGTAATTAGGGAGGAGGAGAGACTGTGCCCAGTCTGAAGCAGCTGTACAGCTCTGCAGCGAGGCATGCCCTGTGCTAATGAAGCATTCGGGGACAAGCCAAGAACAAGTTGTACAGAGCAAGACAAACAGGGAACAGTTATCTGCGCAGCTCTGTACTTGCCTAGCTCTGAACTGGGACTGGCAAGAGCAGCTCCTAACTCCAGGATCTTTCTCCTGGGAAATCCCAAATTCTTGCTGCAAACAGGTGTCCCTGCTCCAGAGGCACGGCTCTAATGTGCTACCCAGGAGCCCTCTCCCCCAGGACAGGCACAGCAGCTACGGGATTCACCATGATGCTGTGCCTGATGATCTTGCCTGCTGTAGGGGAGAGCAACAGGAATTTTAAGTGCTTCCCAAAAAGCCAGTGAGGCTGGGCAGGCACCGACCACTGGGACGGACAGCACCAGCCTCTCAGGGGCAGTCTAGGCTCTGCCCTCCTTCCAGAGAAGCAGCTTCTTCCACAAGCAAAGTAGGAGACACAGAAGCGACACCAACATCTCTGCACCAGTGCTGCTCACAGCGGTGGGAAAGCACTCCCTCCCAGATGGTCTCAAGAGATACTGGCTTGTTCTGTACTTGCAAATCTGTCCCCTCCCTCCATTACTTCCCCACCCACTTGCCTTTCTCCCACCCCACAAGCCTGCCCTAACCAGCTTCCACTACCCAGTCCCCTTATAAGTTACATCTCTCAATGTCTTTCATCTTAGTCCCCTCCTCCAAGCCATGAGGAGGGGTGAAAAGCTGTCAGCCAGCCAAATCAGCATGGAAGAACATGTCCTCTTGAGTTTTTTCACTGCCCCCTGCCCTATGGCAGGCAAGAATCAGTCATGTGGGTTTTGTTGATTACTACCTCCAAGTTATCCATCTAGGCAGCAGGTTCACTGGAGCAGCCAGCCCTGCTCCCGCCTCCAGCTCGTATAAACAATGCATTTGGAAATGCAGGAGACAGGAGAACAAAATCCCAGCAACTTAGCCCAGGACAGCTGCAAGAGACAGAAATAGATGTACCACTTCCTGCAACAGAGCTCTTCAGCCATGCCTCATTCCTTTAGAAAACACCTTTTAGCAGCATGACACACAACACTGTTCACCTGCAGACCCAAAAAGGCAACAACTACCTGAGTTCAAAGGCAGGTCTTGGAGTGCTGAGGACAGGGAATGGTGGCTGGCTGGGAGCCGGCCACTCTCTCCAGCTCTATCCATTAAACAACACTTCCAAGGTACAGCAAAAAGCAGGGCTGACTTCATGTAGAACATGCAGCGCTTCACTGTGTTGACAGGAAGGTTCAACAGGGACTTGGCTACACCCTGCACCTTAGAGCTGCTGGGCATTCAGACAGCCCAGGCTCTTATTGACAGAAGCCTCAAGCCAGAGCAAGGCCCCTTCCGCCTTGGGTGCCAGTGATTCCCGGCTGCCTGAATGGGCTCAAGCCCTGGCTGAGGCACCTTCTTCCACCCTAACCCCAACGTATAAATCCGGGCTCAAAGTCAGCCAAAATTAAGCTTTGCTCAGCACATAAGCAGCATTTAAGTTTCCATTTCCTTCGGCTATATGACTATGTTCCTTCGGTCTTGTGTGAGCTATGCCTCAGTGGGTGGAGGCTGAGAAGCATTTCTAGCTTGTTCCCAACGAGGCCATGAAACTAGCATCATCAGAGGTCAGAACTGAACATGCAGGCAAAGTCCTCCCACCAAGAGATGCCCCCACGCTGGAGCAAACCAACTCCTGTCCAAGCCCTTTCTACTACCTTGGGCCTTGACCAGCACTCCCTAGAAGCAGTGCTATTTTACCAGCCTGACTTGGCAGCTCAGGAACCTGATGAACAAGGCTGCACGAAGCCTTTTTACTGCACAGTATGAACACGTTCACGGCCCAGGACAATTGTTCTCCCTCAACACCCTGCGCTAACAGAAGATATCCGGTTAATGCTCAGCAGGCTGAGGGAGCTTTCCAGCTGTACCAAGGTAAACCTACATCTTACGTTCACCAAACTGGAAGTCACTTGTAAGGGTGCCCTGCACAACTGACACCCCAGCTCTCATCTACAGCAGGAAACTGTAGAGGAAGAAGCAGGTTTCCTTTCAGAAAGGAGCACCAGATGGCCACAGGAAAGCCAAGCTGCCCAGCCCTCTGACACAAGGGCAGGCACACACCGGTCTTCCTTCACATCAGCCACTCTTCGTTCTAAGAGGGGCAAGTCTCTCCTCCCACTTCACAGGGGCTTAGACACTATGGGGATGGAAGCCAGCTCCAGTCACGGGCACTGGGCACAACATTATGACAGCCTACCTCCCAGGTCACCTGGGAACCCAGTTACCAGCTACCACCTACCTCAGGTTATACAGTGCAATGCATGCTTGCAGGACTGAATGTGACACTTCATAGTAAGATGCTGACCAATAACAGCCACAAGTCACTAAAACAGTGATCCTCAGACACGGTGCCAGAGCATCCTTTTCAGGGGGCCACACCAGAGTAGCACTGTTAAATGTGCAAACACCTACCTACATGAGATTCAGAAGAAACCCAGAGATTTCTATCAGGAAACCACAGTATCAAAAATATTCTGACCTCCTGCAGTCAGAGCTAATTGCAGCAAAAGAATTGCTCTATTATTCTTCTGTAGTCAAAAAAAGAGTGAAAGCCAGGAGCCTGTATGTTCCAAGCAGGGCTCAAGTCTAACAGGGCTGAGAACTGCTGCAGTAAGTATCACAGATTTCATAGACATTTGGGCTGGAAGGGACCCTGGAGGATCATAGTCCAGCCCCCTGCCCCAGGGGCAGAAAGTCAGCAGGGATCGTAGGATCCCAGCAAGATAAGCATCCAAATGCGTCTTGAAGGTGTTCAAAGTGGGTGCGTGAACCACCTCTAGTGGCAGTCTATTCCAAACCATGGGGGCTCAGACAGTAAAGAAGTTCTTCCTTATGTCCAGCCTGAATCGGTCGCGGCGGAGTTTGCGACCGTTCAATCTTGTCATCCCTTGGGAGTATAAGAGCCACCTACCCATCTTCCCAGGATCTCACCTCAGGCAGGGGTGCATCCAGTGATTTTTATTTTACAAAAAAAATCTCAAATATCGCACTAGAGCATTAAGATCAACCCATCTGGATTGGCAGCTCAGGAGCATCAAACAATGCTTGGAACAGCTTGTCATTTGGACTCAGTTGGTCTATGACAACAGCAGCACACGGCGTCGTTTGGCTTTGCGCATAAGAAACAGGGTCCTTACTGACAAGGACTGAGCTATTCCACACGACAGGGAAGGGAAGAGGCCTGTTTCTTGCTCCCAGGGAAGTCTCTGAGCACTGTCAAAGTGTATTCTAGGACTATCAGGAAGCATCACAAAAGTCTTTCTAGGGGGAATACATTGAGTGTTTTGCCCAGGAATGACAGGACCCCCGCACCTCCCTGACCTCACCCATCTTGTGCACAGTGAAGGAGACAGCTCTCAGCAGCCTCACACCCCTGCCATGGAGTCCCTCAAGGGTGCTTCTACTGAATAGAGAATAGTCTTATCCAAGGGCCTTAATCCTGATAAACCATCTGCAGCCAGAAAAACTGATTCCCAGACTATAAAGCAGCTTGTAAAGTGCTGAGGAGAGAACTAGAGAACTCCACCGACACCCACCCTGCTGGAACGCTCCTACCTTTTCACCTCAGTTAATTCTTAACATTAGAGCTGGATTATTGTAGAGACAAGGCAAACTGCACAGCCAGCAAATCCGTCTCATTTTAAAGCCACTCAAGAGCAAGGAGTACCTCCTCCCTCCCCCAAAAAGCTTATATTCACCAGAATTCACACGAGTTACACCCTCACCGCATGCAACATCTATAATTGCTCTTAACTGTACAGTGCCATAAAACAGCTACTAAGGGATTATGATGTAACAATGAAAGATTATGAAGTGTTATCATTATTACGCAGGCTAAATTAAAAAAAAAATCAACTTTTACTTTAAGAATAAAAAATGTACTTTAAATTGGAAACTGAGAGCCAATGTTACAGCCAAGATTTAATAAGCTATTAAATAAAAGTATTTTAGCAGCATAGTTCTGCCCAACCTTTAAAGGAAATGACTGAACTTACCAAAGTTTTTGGCTGAGCACCTTGACCAGTGTTGGTTAAAAGTGCCTACACAGCTCTACCAGCAGCGGCCTTGTCTGTTGCCCCAGAGGACACTTTCCGTCATTTAGTTTATTCAATCAGTTCTGTTCAATACCAAGTTTAGAAGTGCAAAAAGTAGTAACATATGTTTATTTCACCCTATGAACAGCAAGGTAACAAGACCCAGAGATTGACTTGTTCTAAAAATCTGAAGGACATATGACCTGATCAATCACCCAACTGCCACTAATATTTCCTTGGTTTAATTGCTTAACTGTAAATGCTAAACATGCTTTGATAAATTTACTCTTCCAACGTTTGTGAAGAGTTATTTGAATTTCACCTGCCTCTAAACACAGCTAGACAGATCACCTAGTAAACGAGAAAAATGCCATTCGCCATAGTCTAGCAATAAATAAGAACCTGAGCAACTGTAAGTTCAACAATTACTAGCTGAGCAAAATGCAGTTACAGCCTGCCCCCCAGGTCACTGCACTACACAAGACTAACTCTCTCTTTAGGAGAATGCGCCCAAAGGGTACAAGCTCCAGCCAAGATTCAAACCGATGATTTCAATCAGTCCAAGCTGTGGTCACCCACAACTCCCCCAGGAAGTTTCTGCTTTGACCCTGCTGGAGTCCAGACCAGTAAGAAGCCCATCTGAATTGGCTTATTCACAGGCAGCAGTGCTGGAAAGGGAGTTGCCTCCAAGATCCACAGCGGCAATGCCAGGGCAGCAAGGAGACCTCTGCTCGTTCCCAGACCCCTTCACATGACACGCATGAATCTGTCTGCCACCCCACTAACACAGCCTGCTTCTCTTGTAGGATTCCATTACCTAACGAGTGGCTGAAGTCATGATTTTTCATTAGACTTCAATCTCCCCGGTACCTTAAGTGGAAGTGTTGCCAGCCACCTCCAAATAGAGCAGTGGAACAGCTACTGAGGGCCCACTCTCGGCCCTATACACCAGGGCAGCACACGCCTTGTACAAGACTTCAAAATGCCTTGTCTCATGTTACTCCGTCTGCAAGCTTCACCTATTTACTCCAAGACTTGGATGCAGCTGGCTGAAGAGGTTGCACTGCAGATGTTTCTCTTTCACAATTAGTCAGAGGCCAAGAAAATTGCTTTAAAGTTACATCTGGCGGAGAACTTGATGGGACTCTGCTCCATACAAAATCCTGTTGGTCACTGCCTACAGAACATGCAGACACTCTTTGTCCAATGGGCAACGCCGAGAGCAGGGAATCACCATCAGCTCCACTGCTATTAGCCAAAATGACTGCACGTAGTTTGCTGCAGTCAGGGGTAAGTCAGGACACCCTGCCTTTACTACGGGGGCTGGAAAACTTCCCTTCAGATAAACCCAAGCTACCCGAGGGAGAGGAAACATGTCCAGGTGTGCACAGCAACACATGCTGGCCAAACCTCCCATAACAGCTATGTGCCAATTTGATTCTGCTGGGATTGAAAACACTCACAGGGGGAATTCCTGGTTTTCAGTCAAGCTACTTGGCCTCTCCAGCCAGCCACTGTGCACCTGGGGAAGGGGACAAACAGAACAGCACAACGGCACCAACTGCATGGGAAAGAGTTTAGACCTGCTCCACACGCCACCAGGAGCACAGTTGCAAGATCCTGCTCTTCCCTGCAGCGGTAAGAGCTGCCTCATCCTCTCCAGGGCTCGTCCGCGCCTATCCACAGGGTATCTGAGCAGGCACAACCAGCCACAAGGCCCCACAGAACGGCAAACCTCTCGCCGCTGCCCTGGCTCCTGAGGAAGCCGCTGAGGCAGGCCATGCCTTGGGCACAACCGTCTGTCGGCCCGGCCTGGCTGTGCCAGAGCTCAGAGCTCAGAGCAGGGGCTGCTGTGGGCAGCACAAGCACTGCAAACCCACACCACACCTGGTGCAGCTGTGCCCATCTGTTGCAGGACGAGATACGCCATCTGACCGCAAACAAGCACCAGTCCTAAGCGCCCAGGGAGCACAGGCGCCGAGCGCTGGGGACTCGCCCCGTAATGCTGACCCCGTCCGGTCCCAGGCCCTGCTTCCAGCACGGCCGGCCAGGCTGCACCCTGGGAAGGGCTCCAGTGTGGTACAGCCCCAGGCGGGGAGCCCCGGTGTGGGGCGGGGGCAGCCTGCTTGCCTGCTGTACCTTCCAGCCAGCCGAGCTGTTGCTGTCGCCCTTGTCCTTGAAGTAGGGCACGGAGCGCACCATCCACTCGTAGATCTGCGCCAGCGTGAGGCGTTTGTCGGGCGCGCTGTCGATGGCCTGGCTGATCAGCTCGGCGTACGACTGGTTGCCCCACGCGTTGCGGCGGGAGCCGCCCTTGCGCGCCGCCCGCGCCGCCTCGGCCC